ACTTCCCCATGGGACAGAGCTGGTCGATAAAACTGTTGGATATTCCAAGAGGGTCGGGAGGCAATATTGTCCAAGATAAAAACTGGCTTTTCTTTCTACCTATATAGTAGTCTTCCTATATTATCCTGAGTAGTCTTGAACTTGAACGTGAAAGAAAAACATGGATGTGGCAATGCCTGCATGTGCTCATTGGGGAAAATACAGCTGCATAGTGGAGGTGGTTTCTGACAGCAGTGCTCAAAAAGTAAGGAAGAGTACATCTAGAAGCAAACTCTGATGATGCTTGTTTAAGTAACTTTGGGGCTGCCTGGCCTGAGCTGGTGTGACGGTGATCGTCGTAGTGGGCCGCCAGCAGGTCGACCATCTCAGCAGGACTCTTCAAAAGGTTGTGTATGATTTTTCTCTTCCATGAATCCACCTTGAACTTTCTGTGAATGGTGTTGCGGTTGTAGTCTGCTATGCAAGCTCCCAGACACTGTGCTAGGGGCACTTGTCTTCCGGAGTTCTTCTTCATAAGCTCTATGGCTTTGCGAAATTGGCCCAAGAACTCTAAGGCACTGGGCGCCTGTTTCTCGGCAGTCTCTTGGCCCAAACCTCAAGCAAAGATGGGTCGAATGGGTTGAGGTGTGAATAGGTACTGTCAACATTGAGTGCCTAACGTAGGGAATCATAGATGAACTCCGATGGGTTGTCTTGGTGACGGTACTGCGCTCTGAAATAGCGCAGGGATAAGATCAAAGGGCAAAGATCGTCCGAGTCAAGATCCTCCTGTGGCCATTCCTGACATGTCAGAAGATAGATAGAGGCTAGCTATATATATTTGTATGCTATTTTAGTATAATATATATTATATATAATATATATGTGGATTTTTAACCTCATGCAAAAAGGTAGGGTGGCCAAAGGAGCTGAGAGTCCAGTGAGTCTAGCAAAGCAACAATTCCCTGGCAACACAACCCCTTGGTGAAGCCATCAAGGTATCCAACGCTGAAGTTCTCCACTGCACGCGTTGGATTCTCAGCGAATTGGACCTGAAGCGGCTCCCTGAAAGGATCGAAGTTGGTGTAGATGATATTTTTCATCGCCATTGTCAAGGAGGCCATGTGCGGAAAGTCTTAGTGCATGGCCGACATGTTGAGCCGAACAAAGCAGTCCAACAAAAAAACATTTCAATTACTCTAAGAAGAAGAGTACAAAGCTTGTTTAGTTGCCTAGTGACACCCACTTTTGGCATTCTTGCTGAAATCCAGCTGGTGAATCCCCACATATAGTTCATTGACTTTTGTACTGGGGGTTATGGACACCACTGATGGCAAATCATCACGCGCACCAGGCCTTTCAAACACAATCCGATCGATAACCGCTTCGAAGGCCCTTGGCTCCGGGTACCTCTTGGCCATCCAGTCTCCAAGGTTTTCTTCTTGGGTCACCTGAGACAAGCATGCGGCTTGTGAGTTGCAAACCCTGAGCAACTAGACAGTACTGATACGAAAACAAGTTTAGCTAAACTCAAGAGGGTCGCTCTCTGAAAGGCTGTCCAAACAATGTCCCTGGCAGTAGCTGATTTTGATTCCTCTTCCCCCTCTACTTTGAGCCCCTCATTCTTGATCTCTTCTTTCTTCACCGGCCCATCCATGGCTTAGGCCAACAATGGGTGGTGAGTCAGTGCTTGATGAACTGAGACCGAGACTGGGAGCCAATGCGAGAGTAATGCAAGCAGCAAATTTAATCTCAATGGAAGCTTAAGTGTATACATATAAAATTTGACAGAAGTGTACTGACTTTTCACAACACAGGTAGGTGATACCCTTCAGTTGATGTCTCCCACAAAGAAAATGCCTCATATCACGGTTGGTGGACGATGACTGAGCTACCAGTCTTTCAGATTGGCTTCGGACATTGCGCAATGCCATGCGCTCTGAATTGCCTGGCTGGTGCGCAGGGCTTGTGAGTAACAGCAACAAAGTGATTTAGGCTGACTAGCTTTCTGGCATGTAGACAAGCAATGAGGACCTCTCCTTCCATTGTAGCACAGATGATATCTAAGGAATAAGCATCCAGCTTTTTCCCTGGCCTAAGAAATCTGTTTGCAGAACTTGTTGACTTTCCGCATGTCGCAAGCCTGCGGGGTAGTTCACGGGAAAAGACTGTGCGAGCTGTTTGCTGAGCACCTTCAATGCGATCAGCCAGGCTGCAGCGATGCATCGCAGATGCATGGAGTTGCCAGCTAGGTCATTCACCTCCTGGCAACGAAAAAAACAGATAAAAACAGACTGTTCTCAAAGTACCTTAGATCCAATCTAATAATCGTTGGTCCTGCTCAGTGAGGCTTTCGAACTGCACTCTATGGACAGGAAAGCCCTGTAGCAGCATCTTCTCGACGCCTTGAACACAACAGTTTCACATCTAGTGATATTTTCTCACACTGCTTTGGTTGGAATAAAAGGGGCCTGAAAGCGCTCGCTTGGCGTGCCGGAGCCAATAGCAACCCTTTGGCCTAGAAATTGGTAAGCTGTCAAACCCTGACGTACTATAGGTGTGCAGCGCTTGCACAGCTGAGCGCAAGGCGTCACACATGGAAAGGGCTGGTTGAAGCTAGAGAGTGTTGGCATGCGCCCAAGGTTTTGGCTAACATCAGCCATGACCCATTTGGTGTTCTGAACGGACAAAAGTGCCAATGCCTGGCAAGGCTTGAGAATAACGTGGGTATGTATGCATACGTTTTTGTATATTGTAGATTGTCAACGCCTGCTCGCAGCGGTCAGACAGTCCAAGCGATGTGCCATAACCAATCTGCCTTTTCCGGGCTTTGTCAAGGTCCACCTGGCAAGACAACAAAACAAACTGCGGTAGAGAGACTCGGAATGGAGCCTCATGTTGCTTGATGAAATCCCAATGGTAGTGGCGCCACTTTGGTTGTGTTTTTGTGGGCCTGCAAGAACATGAACGCTTGCTTATGTGATGGCAAAAACATTTCAAAAAACATAACTGTATATATATGTCACCTTCTCTGAATGTCATACTTTTTGATCTTCTTGGACTCCATCTTCTTGGCTTTGGCCTGCCCACCATTTAGAGCATATGAACCATTCGTTCTAACTAGACATCTGGCCTTCCACCTGGCTTTGATGTTTTTCACATCTTCAGAACCGTCAGGCAAAAGAAAATCTGTCCTAGGCTTTCTAGCAGTAGGCACCTAAAAACAACATAGGGCAACAAGGTGAATTGAGGATCTGGCCATGGTACTGTCATTGTGTTGGTTGTCAGGGCTTCCAAGACAGAAGCAGCACAACCATCCAAATTTGAAACTCCCAGAACATCTCGGCGAACCATGACGAAGTAGAGCCGGCGGCGGGTGACATTGACACCCAGGGCCATCCTTGGGCACACAATTTTGGACAAAAAACCTTAGGAATCACCAGAAACAGCCAACGCATAGCCATGGGTCGGATCTAGTTCTTGCAGTGTCATTTCGTAATCACCGCATTCTGTCAATGCCTCTTTGACCTCATCAATGACCTTCAATAGTCCAAGTACATTCTCCAGAATCGCGAACTGGCATGGCAAGAAAATTTGTGTAACCCTGGGAGGAACAAACGAAGCACATCTTCAAGCAAACAAGATCAAACAGGGAAGAGGCACTAGAGGCTGTAGTTCTTGAATCGTGTCACGTACAGCCCAGAACTGCTTTGCTTGGCTATCATTGAGCCAGTCACTGTGGGTCCTCAAGGCTGAAAAGGCCTTGCAAGGGAAACCAGCGCAGTATACATGTACCTGAGGGCCCATTGTGTTCAAGATGCTCTTTGACAAATGATACAAATGGACCCCTCTTCAGCGCACGTTTCCCTTCAGGTGGGTGGTCTCCCTGTAGAAAAGATCGTCCTGCAGCCTCAGCACAGGAAGAATACCACTAGACATAATGCAAAGCGTCGGCTGAGACGTAGGCGGTACGTGTGGAAAGTTTTGGGCAAAAAACTTCCGTGGCCCTTGGCCATTGTCGCATGCAGACCTCGTCGCAACCAAGAATACTCAAAACCATATAGACCTTTTTCAATTTGACCACCCATAATGCCACAAAAGAGCACATGCCGAAACAAGTCGAGGCATCCTGCACCACGAAATAACATGTCCAATGCCAGAACTGGCGCCTCTGCACCCGAGCCTTGTGAGAGAGGTTCAAGCTGCAAACTTCAGAACCGTCACAATTGTTCTGAGTGGGAGGCAATCTGTCATGACTCCCAAAGGGGTTCTCAAGGGTTTCAGGATCTCTGCGAGGCCTGTCGGTCAAGCGGGAGGTACACACTGATGGAACAAACCACTACCCAGAGCTAAGTTGCAAACCTGTCGCTTCAGCAAAGCTGGAACCAAACTCCAGTGTTGCAACTTGGCTCTTGGTGAGCTGGGTGTGCTTCATCATCCTCAAGAATCTCAAACAACCGTTTCCTATTTTTTTGCAAATCACATCACTTTGAGGCCCTTACTCTATATCAGATTCATCATCATCGTAGCTAATGCTACCATCTGATCTACAGCGCCACAACTTTGGCATTTTGCCAGCTCACAGTTCAAATGGCTGCGGAGAAACCAAACACCTGGTTCTCAATTAGAAAACACCTGGTTGCAATCAGAATTGCTTGTATATAAATAGAATATGAACCCATCCAAAAACATGACCCCTTTCCTCGTGTTTTTTGATTTCCCAACATTCTATCTATTTCATTCTGTCATTCTATTTCTATCTACTGCAGGAGTATATCTAAATCCTGCTTGGCTGCTTCCAAAATCAGAACTATAAAGCCACCCACGCTGCCTACATTACAGGTCCAAGGGTCCAGCAAGACTTGTCAAGGCTGTTCTACGCCGCAAATCGGCCTTCAAATCCCATCCCCCCCCAGGCATTCAGCCTTGCAGAACCACCACGCCGACGCCGGGAAAAACCGGACGCCGCCACCTTCCCGCCGACAGAAACACGCCGCCCGCCCGGTGGACGCCCCAGGCGCGTGGCCCACGGGGTCCTCGCCGGCGCGCGGGTAGTCGATGGAGACACCGATGGAGCGGAAGACCTTCATGGACACCTGCCATGTGACGACCACGGATGATCCAATGGCAACTGAGTGGGAGATGTGGAGAAAAAGGGACATGAGGAGAACATGAACATGGGAAGACTCAGCAATTGAGAGCCAATAGCATTCGAGTTGAATAGGATCATGTTGATTGAACATGGATCCAAAAAGTGATTGCAAAAACATGCAAGACACCATCGTATTTACTAGAGGCACCACGGGTCTGGTTCCAAGCATCTTGACCAGGACGCGTTCCCACATCGACCTGCACCACCACACCAGCCTCCTGGCGTGTGGGGGACCCGGAGGCGACCAAGCTGTTGTGCTTCTCGACGTAATCAAGCAAGGCCATCACCAGCCTGAACCGCGGGTTGCTCTCACCCGCAGCGGACAATTCCTCCGATCTCCAGAGAGAGGGGTGGGAAATCAGAATCTTCCACGCTCCGATTGCAACGATTTGTCACCCCAAGGGGTTGACGTTCTTCGTTATCTTCTTTTTCCAAAAGGGATGTGCAAAGAAAATATTACCATACCCCAAACCCGGAGAGGTGTCTTTTTCACTCCGAAGCGAGCCTCACCGCCCTTCCATCTTCACCATTCTTCACCCACCAATTCATCACACATCGCTGGATGGCGGGGCAAACACTCCAATGTCGCTGGCTGACAACGGTCCCGGGCCGTCCCGGCGAACTCGTGTCAACTCGCAAACGGAGAGCGAAGCGTCGAACCGGGAAAGCGAAGCTCCCAAATAGGCAACGCATGAAAATACATAAAACATGTCGTATGTCACATGAGAAAGTGATAGAAAGTGGTTCTGATGGTTCAGTGATGCCGAGTGATGTCGTGTCTGGCCTCCTCGCAAGTGCAATGTCCCCTTCTGGCCTGCTCAATGAGCATCTGCAATCCACACACTTGGTCCCTCCCACCAAAGGCCACCTGGATCCCTTGCCAAGTGGTCTTAGTTTTCACTTGGGACACATGCGCCGATGTGGTCAGGAACCACTACTAGTTGATGGTTCTGGACGCTTGACTTTCAACCTGAGCTTTCACCAAAGGAATGAAACACACAATTAAAACAAACACAATCAGTTACAGTACCTCCAATAAGATCCAATAAGACGATGGGACCATGTTCCACTTCCAACTCCCACTCCAAGGCCCCCCCCCTGGCGCCGCGGGTAGCCGGCCTGCGAGATTGCTGGAAGAGCTCTGGTTCTAAACATCCCCAAGGGCACGGGCCCACCTGCGCACGACCGGGGCACACGCTGGGATGTTTCCTGGGGGAACCACGGATTGACCACGGAGATCCACGGAGTGAGCTCTGGGTGGCTGCCAAAATTGTGAGGCCATGTCAGGATCAGTTCGACTGGATGAGGAGCATCTGGTTGAGAAACCCAGCGCTAGTGTTGGATGTTTTGTTCAGAACCCACACACACAAATTTGATCAAATGTTCTGTTTTGTCCTACTAATTGGACCACCACAGAACAAACCTTGCAAACGTCGACGGAAGCATTGAATCAACCACCAACAAAGCTGAAACAAATCGCATTTCAATAAATGGAATCTAGTATGTGCAGGAATAGGAAGCAAAGGTTTCGCCAAAAGATCTATATATATATATACTGTAGTAATCTGTAGTAGGTAGTTTAATTTCCACGTATGTTAAACTACCTGAACTTCCACGGCAGTTCGTTTGAATTCACAAGAAAACAACACACACACGAAACAACATGAAAGTATGTTTTCATCCCTGACACCCTCTACAGGGTGGAAAAAGAACCCATGAACCTTCCACAGAGCTCTGCAAAAAGAGCTGGCAGCGCGACTGCGTATGGCTTGGCTGGCGACTGCGCATGCGATCCGACATCGCCCTCTTCTCATGACATCTCATCAAAGAAGGGCTGAGAATCAGGCAACGCTTGGAGCACATTGGCACGCTGAGAATCAGCACGCTGTGGAGCACATGCCATTGCTATATTCAAATTCCGACACTACCAAATGGCATAGCAAATGCATAGCAAAGAGCAGTCAACTGCTATCGTCCGGTTCTTTAGGGAAGATACAATGTCCCCACACTGCATACAGCTGCAGTCGTCACCGTTGTATCAGGCAGCACTTCTTCCCATCAAATGCTATGCACTTCTTCCGTTCCAACATCTCCAAAATTGTTTGAAGAGTTGTCTTGAGCACCTCTGCTGCACAACATGTCTCATTTTTGTGACCGTTAGTATATCGAGCAGCACCGAGTGGCCTCCGGTTACAACAAATAGGTATCGAAAGTGGCTCTCCAATAGGTCAAAACACCCACCAGTGCTTAGGGGGGGGTCAACTTCTTTTGGATGGTTTACCCCCTCTAAAAGGAAACTTTCTTGCATGCCGATGTCCCCGATCGAGAACTGCATCGCTTCTTCCATCCGTGGTTTCGTAAAGACCGACAGTCCATGAACCCGGGGTTCAAGTTCAGTCGATCATGAACTAAGCCAAGGGCAGATGCGCTAAAGTGACAATTTCCTTGCATGACCAGTGCATTGAGGTGCGCGTGAGATGTTGGACAGGTCGGCCCCTAGTACGTTTGAGGTTCGTTTGAGTGTCCAATCAAGGCCGCTGCGCTGGTTTTTGCCTTGAAGACCATGTTGATAGAAACTATTTGCCTTGAAACTTGACTAAATCCTCCGGATTTAGTCGAGGCGGGCTGAAAAATCTCGAGGCGGCAAGGCTCGACTTGAGAAAAAACAGCTTGCCTTAAATCCTCCGGATTTAGTCGAGGCGATTTTTTCCATAATCAAAAATTACCATGCAAATCTAGACTTCCTGGCTCCCGACAATTAGATTCTTTAGTAATACCTCCCGACAATTAGATTCTTTAGTAAAACCTCCCCACAATTAGATTCCTTAGTGAACCCCCCCGACAATTAGATTCAGTTGCGTCATCCCAAAGCAACCAGAACCGTGAAAAAACAAAGGAAAAAAGACACCGGAAATGACATTCCTAAAGGTTACCCCCCTCCCCTGATTTCTAAATCAAGGGGAGGGGGATAAATACAGCCTTGCAATGCCTTGCGCCCAGAAGCCCCCCAGAGGGAATGCCACGAATTCCGATCTTGCAGAGCTCCCGCCCTAACAGCCGAGTTCCGAGCTGAAGTCGAAGTCCGAACTCAGAACTTGGAACCGTTGCAGCAGAACTAGATTGTCTTACTCCCTCAGTTTCCCCTGGATTCATGTTGCACCTCGAAGACTCGTTTCCTTTCCGAAAGGATCCCGATCATGATCCAACATGTTCCAACTACCTCCTGAGAAGGTCGTTTGGGACCCTGCAAAACCCATATATCCCTATCAATCCCTCTCAGTATATACCTTCCGGGAAGGTCACACAACGTCGACTCGCTGGAGGCAAGTCGGAGGTCCACGACTTCTCTGGTGCCGAACGACCCGGAACGAGGCCCCGAACGCACGACCAGCCTCAAAGGTGAGGCCACTGCGGCCAATCGAGGGGCACAGGGGCCAATCCGCCTGATCGTTCCATTCCACCACCTGACCCAGACGCGCTGTGGAGTTGTTGTGTAGGCAGCGTGGGAAGGACGTGTAGTGTAGTGAGGGACAAGCTCTGACCAAGAGTGTGTACATGAATGTTAGACAGAAACATGTGCGCTTTGAAAGTCAACCAACATAAGTTAGATTCGTCCTGTAGCCGCTGTATTAGGTTGGAACTGGATGTTCCCGTCCTTTTCAATTATGAGTGCTCAGAATCTGAGACGATGTCTCATGTAGTCACAAACACAAACAACAACCGAAAGCAAGCACATCTTTGGTGGGTACGGAAGCAGCACCAAAAAATGATTGATCTTGTTTTTGTTATCCCTTGGGTTGCCCGAAAGAACAAACAAAACTCCAGTTGAAAGCACTCTTTAGGTGATTTGGAGACTTGGAAGGGTTTAATGTGAAAAGTAGTAAGGTGGAGTGCGAACACACTGAGTAGTAAGGTTCCAGTTCTCCCACAAAAGCGATACCAATACCATGCTAACAACATCCTATGTATATTGTATACCTTGGGTCTATCGGTCTAGCCTATTACCAGTGGATGATGATGGTTAGTGAAGGCCTTTCTCTGAAATAGTGAAAACATGTGAAAACTATTTGCCGACTGTTACAGGTACCCTGGGGATCTAAGTACCTTCCCAGAAGGTGACACTGTTATGTATATTTGGAGGGTCCAAGTACCTTCTGAGAAGATACTTGGATCCCTAGCGGTAATCGGACAGACCCAATGTATACCATTTTAGGTCCATACGAGCGATCCACCCCCCACCAACAGGCACAACCATTGTCGGTCGAAACAAACCGTCACACAGCGTCCAACGGACGGTTGTCTTGCCCACCTTCACTCCCTCTGTGAAACTAGATCGCACTTGTTTGACCTCCGTTGTTTCAATGGACCGTTTCTTCATACACCAGCATGGCCTCATGTGTGGCACAAACAAACTGACAATAAAGGAACCTTCTCATGTTTTTGTGAAACATGGGGTGCTCCCAATTTCCCCAATCCCCCAGTCCAAGCTTTTCCCGAACCATCCACATATTTTCCAGGTCGGGAAATGTTCCAAAAAACCTTAGCAAACACTTCGAGAGCAATCAACCACCAACAGAAGTTAAGTGACCTGAACTAGGACAAACCTGGGATACCTATGGGCCTATGGTGTTCTGAAAATTCTCTGTAGCCCAGCCCAGAGACCATGTCCCACCAGATGCCCCCGGCGACCCTGACGGTCTCATCCAAAGACATCAAGTGGTGGGCAACCTCATGGGCAAACCTTAGTTGGGCAATCGGATTGGGTGCCACAAAAAGACATTCGCGTCGCGTAGAAAAACGCAATTTGTACATATATATATATATGTGTGTGTGTGTTCCTGTCTATGGTTCTGGATGGTGACACAACCCCGAACATAGAAACGCATGTGTCTCAAAAGTACATTTCAACGCACTACAGTTTCTCTTGTTTGGGGAAGGTTTCTAGGCAAACAAAGCCGTTGCGTAGAAAAATCTACTGTAGTTATGCGCACACACACAGACACACACTCAGGAAATGCATGCGGGACTGATCACCCCCAGCCCTGGAAAAAACAAAACGAAAAAATTATCTGGGTAAAACAGGTAGCATGTAAGGTGCTCTGGCCACCTCACCGTGCAAAGATCAGAAGTCTTAAGGCACAGAAGTGCCGAGTCACAAAACACAAAGGTCACAAGATGCATGACTGCAATGATGGAACGGATGCACTGGCTGGTCAGCTTGTTGTAATAGCAAACGGGACTGGGGAAGAAATGAAAACGTTGCAGGTACAGGAATGTGCGTCCACATTCCGTTCCGGCTGCATCCCAAAGCTTCGTTGGCCTGGCTAGGGGGACAGTTGCCATGCTCCCTGCTAAAGTGACCTCTGATTCCAAGGTGATCACACTTATATAGATAATCTTAGATTTTTTGTATAGCTCAACTGAATGAGCATGAATTTCACAAGGTGGCTCACTGATGCATTAGACCTTTACTGCACTAGACGCTTACTGCAAAACAAACAAGGAGACAGTTATGGCCTTATAGTAGAGTTTCACGAATCCACTAGTTACTGCAGAAACGACCTGACAGACCTCATAAATGGCCGAGAACAACAGATTGAAAATGTTTTGCGTCAACGACCTCCACGAATGCACTAGCCCTTTACATTCTAGTTACTGGCAGAACACCGAATTGGACAGCTTGAGCACTACGTAGACTCATTTCAAGAATGCTAAAGCATGTTCAAATTTGATGCAGGTACGTCCAGCTGGCCAAGCTGGATATCCCACTTCACTGGTAGCTTCATGGGACACTGTGCCAGTGAAATGCTGTGTCCCCCTGCTACATGAAAAAGCTGGAACTGTTAGAGGCAGAGTGTGGCACACACACACACACACACCGCTCGTAAGGGTCAAACGTGAAGGCATGTGCCCACCCTTAAGCGGCATGGACGTGGGGTCCCCAAATTGCATTTGGTGGACGTAGGGGGACCTGTATATAAGGTGGTCTGGCCATCTTAATGACACCAAAGATCTTAATCCCGTCCCCCTAATAATAAACACGCCCCCCCCCCCCTCCCCCCCTATTAAAAAAACCTCGGTCGCATTTTTTTTAATAGGGGGTCCCTGAAATCGGGGGGTCCAAAATAGGGTCACCTGGGAAGAGCTTCAAAACCAAAAAGTAAATCCGTAAAGTTTTATATAAAATCCTTTATTAAACTCGTATCAAAAATGCAAAAAAACTCCAGATCGAAGGGTCTTCCTTTTCCCCTACAAAAACCTTCATTAGAATAGTTATTCTTCGGTAGACTAACAGCTAAAGCTTTCGAAAGGTGATGTCGCTGTGCCATGCGGTGTTGCATGACCTCGGTGGCAAGTGCGTTTGCGTGAGTCCGTGCCATTGGGGGAAGGAAAGCCTGCTGGTGTAAGCGCGGCGTGTCATGGTGGATAGACAGGGCGGACAGAGGTGGGCAGTTACGGTTGTTTTTGGGGAACCTAATAAAAAAAACTACCCCCAAATTCGACCATGTTGGTAGTTTAGTAGCGGTTTGAAAGGGCGGCAATTTAAAACCAAATATAAACCGAATTTAGGGGTTCGGACGTGGGTTTTTTTTAATTGGGGAGTGTTTATTAATAGGTACTCGGGATTAATGCCAAAGCTCCAAGAGGTCCAGGTCTCAAAATTCAGAAGCCTTAAGCTACAGAAGTGCCAAGTCACAAAGCTAGAAGGTCACAAGATGCGTGACTGCAGTGAGTGGCTGGTCAGCGTGTTCTAGTAACAGACGGGATCCAGGAGGAAATGAAAGGTCGAAACGCTGCAGGTACAGGAATGTTCATCCACATTCCCTTCCGGCTGAATCCCAAAGCTTCGTTAGCGTGGCTAGGGAAACAGCTGCCAGCCATGCCCCCTGCTAAATACAAGAAATCAAGAACACCAAAAAGTGGCCTCTCAATCCAAGGTGTTCACACGCGCACGCACCAATAGGTGTTTCCATTTTTGTGGAGTTAATGTATAAATTAAATGGTTCCACCTCCACTGTCATCACCACATATATGTCTCAAATGCAGCCAGGAGCACAGAGAGAGAGAGAGAGAGAGCACTGCATCAACGGCACTGTCCGACAGGACGGCACTGGCCAAAGACGTCAAAGTCCAACGCTCCACACATCACATATGGAAGTGGATGGCATGGTCCCGAAGTGGATAGCGTGGCTTTCCCTTACAAACGGGAGTTTTTGGTCATCCAAATTAGTGTCATAGTGTAATGCAGGGCATGGGCGAAACGTGGCCTTGACCTCCACAAGATCTGCAAGCGACCAAACGAATCGAACCAGTGCTCACAGGAGAACATAGGAGAACCAAATGGCAGCAGTTCTCACACGCCAAAGCGGCCTTTGTCATGCTGACACAAGAAGTGGCATGACAAGCCCCTGCTGCGAAGATTGCTATTCACCACCCTCGTGCTTAGGGGGGAGCTAGAGCATCATGCCAACCAATCTTGTCCACAATTAGCAGGCTGCTAAGGTTTACCATCACAAGCTTATCCAGAATTCAAATTCACAAGTAGACCTTTGCATCCAAAGCACTTACGGACATGAACACACAGAGCGTGTGTACCCCTCTCAGACTTCAAAGCATCTGGGAATATCTGGGATGGCCAACTAACACTAGCGCGACTTGCGGACTCCATGTCAGTCACAACCGGATTCCGGATTGCCAGTGATGCCCGGAAAACGAGAGTCCTCCAAGTTTCACTGTGGACCGTGCGTCGCGTCGTCGTTTGGAGGGTGGGGGTCGGTACCAAATGGTTGGACACAACGAACTGGGACACGTCCACTCTATGGCCATCTAGGTACCTGAGTCAGGCAGGTACCTGGTGTTCACTCTGCTGAAGCTGGAATAGGCCCATTCCAACATCCTGTGAGACATGGTGGCATTCGCCCATGTCGGTTGCCTTGCAGCCAAAGACCAAAGCAAACATGTTGCCCTGGATACGCAGCTGGAAAAGAACATCATTCAGAAATTCTGGTCAACCAGCTGATCTGATTGGCCCAGACTGATCGGCAGCTGCAATTGATTTCGACCTTTCCCGTCCATTCAACTTGTTTCAACTTTGAGACAAGCCCGAACTGGCACCACAAACTCTGCCTGCCTTTGCACTCAAAGAACTCATTCCCTAGAGTCACCCCCATGTAGTTTCCGTGGGTGGAAAACGACGCAAGTAAAAGGAGGTTAATGAAAAAACTGACCCAACCCCAAAAATTGTACTTTCTCTACGTAGACCTACGTAGTATGCTCTAGGCGTTGGAAGAAAAATACATGTTGATCCAAACAACTTTTATATTGGTTCTTTGGTTCTTTGTCAAAAAGAATAAACTTTAGACACATTTATAAATATAAATACATATATCACAGTTATATTTGTTGTTATTCCTTGTTCCTATATATATAACATAAATGTTTGCTTTTGATTCTCTAGGTAGCTGCTTGTTCTGCCCAAACGAATAAATCAGGAATATGATGCCTCCCAAACCCCTCCCCAACAGCAACAAATTCATGAACGAACATCATTACCTCCCTTCTGGGAAACACAAGCTCTTACAATCACAATGTCACAGCCCTAAGGCTCCTCCAACAACTACCCGATCAAAAGGCCACTACCACATGGATGGCAACCCGTCCGTCCCCCAGTCCCCCCGTCCGTCTCCCATCGTTTCTCCCAGAAACTCATCGTTCGGTGCCATCAGCAACGCCACGCCCGTGGCGGCCGTGGTGTTGTGCAAGTCAATGATGAAGTCCTGGACCGACGAGGCGTCGAGGCGTCGAGACGTTGGCGCCATCAAAACATACAGTATGTGGCTCTGGGTCAAAAACCCGGAGAGAGAGAGAGAGAGCGAGAGACCCTAACCACTGGTAGGTTCACCTCCCAGGTCAGTCAACCCGATCCTGGTGGGACGACCCAAACCAACTGCCTAACTCTGAGATTCGTTGCTTTGATCAAAGTTTCCGCCTTTTTCCGCCCAGAATTGGACCACTCGTTCGCTTACTGAAAAAAAAGTACTCTTTTCTTGCCCCACTCAGGCGCAAGAAGCTCAGAGCGAACAAACACAGCCGCATGCGCGCTAGCTCACCCGCTCACCCGCCCAACCCAACGGATCCGGTTTCTCCCCACCGAGGACGCGGCGCACTTGGGCTCGGAGCTGCTTTTGGGGCCCAACTGGGCATCCACCTGCGAGGTCAGACGAGGTTGGAAGCGGAAAACCGAGGTCGAAAGACAGAGGTCCCAGCTTTTCAGATCTGGGAGGAAAAAGACGTAGTTGTGGTGCAACATTCTGATCTTCTCTTTGCAGTACGTAGGACCAATCGCACCCAACATAAAGCAAACACAAAGAAACGACAGGAGAAGCTCATACACCCAAACAATTCATTCCAGTTAAGTGCAATCTTTTCTGTTCGACCTGTCTCAATCTCTCGGAATCACAGGGTACGATGCAATGCATCCTCTTTTGCACAGCTTATCGTTTGGGGCCGTCTTGACCCCAAGTGGTGAAAATGTGATCGTGAGCGCGATTGGTCCTGAGTGGTGAGGGACGAGTACGATCGAAGGAAGGTAACTGGCCAAGGCAGAAGTGTCCCTTTGACCAGGCAAGAAAACTCAAATTAGATAGAAGTAGACGTCCAGGTTGGGTATATTCCATCACCAGTAACAGTGGATGATGATGATGATGATTATTATTATTATTATTAGTCAAGGCCTTTCTCAAAAATAGTTATAAGTTATAATCCGTCCTTTACTGGCTGCTACTGGTAACGGACTACACCCTAATTCTAGGCTAGGATTCTGGGCAAATTATGAAATGTATATTTAAAGGATTATATGTAATCAACCGTAGCAACTACCAAGCAGTGTTCCCGAGAGATGTGCATCCCGCCAAACATAGTGAACCCAGGCTTTAAGAGAATGATGTCCTTGCAAAAAAGAAGGTACTGTAGAAGAACACAGGACAAAGAACATGTAGAGAGTAATTCATCTTATTCATTGAAAATTCTGAACATCAATGTTCACCCTGTTTTGCAGGTCATTTGGCATCCACGGAAGACCGCCGACCAGGCACGGCTTGGGCTTCTACTATGTTCACCCTAAGGATCCGCTCTGCTCGTAATCTCTGCTCAGGTTTCTTGATTAATTTATATATATATGAAGTGATGTTCCTTTGGGAGCATTGACTCTTACTTGAGTCTTAATACAAGCAAACGGGATCATCTGCACCACGAGAAGCATCCTCGTCCTGCTTCGGACATCGTCTGTCATGGTCCAAACAGAACACCGGCAGTCGGCTTGGTCTCGGCACCTCGTCTCTGGGGTCCGAACACCGGACGGCACGGTCTGTAGAGGGTGCCATCCACTTCCATGATTGGAGGGGATGTAACACAGCGTTTTGCTTCTCCAAGGACTGGTTGGCTTGCAGGCTTTCTGTGCCAAGCAGCTCCCAGGTCTTCCAGTGCCCATTGGGAAGCACCTCGACCAGCTCCAAGCGCAAGGCTTGAGAGGCCTCGTAGTGCACAGGGCCTCGCAGAAGGCCGAAGGGACAAGTCCCGCCCACCAGATCCGACCAAACCCGGAGATCTGACCCGCACAGGGAGATCTGACCTGTGACTCGGATCCTCATCTGGCCAGGGTTCCCCCAAAGAAATATCGAAAACAAACAAAACATGGCCGCCATAGCCCGGCACAGCATCATGGCACATGTCTAGGCCTGAGAAAGCTTTGCAAACATCTTTACATGTTTAACCCTCTGAACTCTATGACCCCTGGGACAAGGAAAGGTCCACAGTTCGTGCTGTAGTTGGTCGCTCTTTGTATAGGGACAAACATGGACAAACCATGACAAACTACCCGTGGATTGACCATATTGGTCCAAATGGGGATGGGTATGGATGGGTCAAAAACCTGGAGCCCGACCAAAGCCGCCATGGCCGAGCCGCCATGTTTCTCCATTTGCTGCAGCAGCTGGAGAGCGGTGGGATATTGTTTGCAGCCTCGGAGCAGCCCGAGGCTAACCAGCAAATCTACATGGCTATCCATGGACCTCTGAACTCCCTATGGATAAACATGTGACAATATCACACATCAACTGCATTGCAAACCAAGTCGGACGGCCAGGCCCTAAACCCTAAACCACCGGGCCCCATGCTCTGCTTCGGTTGGCCTCACCCGACCAATCCGGTGCCGGGGACTCTCCGACCGTTCACCCGACCAGGGAGCGGCAGCACGCACGCACCACGCTGTAATAGGCGCTGGTGCAGGGCGGCGATGGGAGCCGCTGAAGCTGTTTGAGAAGCTCCTGCAGCGTAACACCGAAGCCGGGAGGTCCCAAGGACGGTCATATAATACATGGCAGAAAAAGTAGTAGGAAGTACGGTTAGTACGGTAGCATGAATGAACATGACCGCGGTACCTCATGTGCACTTTTACAGGAGTTCGATGGAGATTGATGAGCTTAGTTCCTCTCTGCAGGAGGTATAATTGGAGCGTTGTACAAACCTATATATATATATAATTATATATATATATATAAAGGCTCAGTCCAATATGTCCAGCCCCTTTTCTTCGCAAGACCCAA